CCTCACTGAGGAGGTGGTATTTAAGTTGGACCTTGCAGAAGGAATAAGGAGACTATGGATAGAGATTAAGGGAAGAGAAAATATCTTGGTGTAGGTAGCGATTCCCTCAAATACTTATTCAGCACATACTGAGTGTTAAGCACTGTTCTAGGTGCGGGCATACAGGTGTGATCAAGATAGGCATGGTTCTCAAGACAAATGAGTAAACATGGATAATTGCAAATTATGGTAAGTGCTATCAAGAAATGAAATAGGTTGTTTTGATTTAAAAATAGCAAAGAAATCCTTTTATATAGGATTGCCAGGGAAGGCACCTTTGAGAGGTGACATTTGAGCTGAGGTTTATAAAATAAGCTAGGTATAAGAGTAGAGGTCTGATTTAGGCAGAGAAAACAGCCTATGCAAAGGCTTAGGGGTGGAAACAAGCATGAAGATTAGAAGGAAGATGAGTATGACTGGAGCCTAGTGAGCATTGTGGAGAGTGGCAGGATATGAGGCTGGTGAGAGGCAGGGACTTGTAGGGCATTCTAAGGGATCTGGATTTCATCCCTAAGTGCAGCAGAAAGCTGTACAAATCAAATTTATACAAATGATGTGATGCTAGAAAAGAGGATGCCTACAATTAGGCAGTATCCTGGTCTAACATACCAGCATTTAGATGGGACATACCAGAATTTAGGGACTCTGGAAAGGATCCAGAAATAGATGACAAGAGAGCAGAGCCTGATCTTTCCATCAGGAGATGACCCAGCTGAATCGAGCTTGCCTAGAGAACTATGCCAGATTCACTCACACAGGATGTGTGAATCAGCCATTTCCTGAAGAGTTCTGAGCAGATCCTTCTGACTCTGATCCTTAGCAACCCCACCCTGTTTCAGGAAATATGTGATGTCAAAGTCTGAAAGGAAAGAGCAATTCCTTACCAGACAGCCTGCTAGAGGTTGAGTTGGATTCTTTTTCAGGCAAAGTGGGATAGGCGTATGGATGGATGTCTTGGTAAGATTATTGTAGGATGGTAATATGGGGTAACTCAAGAAAGCAAATATAAGCCTGGTTTGGGCCTTGTGTGAATGATGTCCAGTGCCTCAAGCTTGAGCATTCATTGGAACACGAACTTAAAAAAAAAAATTCCTGATACATGAAGACATTAAATAACTTCTATGTTGAAGGTCCTATGACTATTAAAGAATTCCAGGCTTGTGGATTCAGTGAAGGAAAGTTAGGTGAATAATATGTAAGTTAACAACAAATGTTTAGAGATAAGATTTTTGAAGATGAAAAAAGGCTTTTTCCTGCAATGCCTGGTTTTTGTAATGTTGCTCTTGACCTTTGCCAAGAGGGAGTAGAAGTTCAGAGCACTGAAGCACCCCCCCACCTCCAACCCTTTGGCCACTGGGTGTCAGTATTACAGTTTGGATTAAAACTCTTAATCACTAATAGATATGCAAGAAAAATATTTATGTAACCAAGGCCTTGCTGAAATGGTATTTAGAGGAATAGTGGTACAATGAATGGGGTAAATGAAACATTTCCAGTAATAAATAGAAAAAGGAGAAACTGAGGGTTAAGACCCAAGAAGGAATAGCTGCTCAAGAAGCAATTCTTAAAGTAGAAGGCAGAAATGACAAAATAACTGTCCCCGCCAGGGATGGATAGACAAAAAATTATGTTGTGACATCTTGGCTGTGGATTTAAATTGATGGCAGGCCATAACCCGCAATATTGAACTGTTACCCCAAAGCTGCATTTTATAGTGATATGACATGAGAACTCATTTTTAATTCATATATGTCTCAACAATTCTCTTAATTGGTCACTTTTAATAGTCAACTAAAAATATGATTGATCCTTTCCCATACATACAACATACACACAAAATAGTTCTATATTTGAGGTTTTTTCCTCAGCCTAGTGCTGTGAGTGATCTAGAAATGAGACATAATTTGTCTTAAGGGAAACAGACTGGCTCAAATCTTGATTCTACTACACACTGGCTGTGTGTCCTCTGGCATAGCTTCTCTGAGCCTCAATTTCCTTATCTGCAAAATTGGGATAATAACTAGCTCATAAGACTTGCAAATTAAAGAGCTAATGCAGGCAAAACATATATTAGTAAGTTCTCAATAAACAATAGCTATTATCATGATTTTGAGTTTTCCAGCTGCTTACAGCTGTCAGTGTGTACTGAGAAAGTTTGTGAGGGAGATTCAGGCTCGGAGATAAGTAGCTAACTCTCTGCTCTTGTTCCCTCTTATTTATGCAGGCCCCTGGCATATACAGACACTGGAATTTCCTCTGAGACTAAACCAGGTAGCATACCAACTAGTCAGAGCCACTGTGGTTTACCGCCATCAATTCCACCTAGCCGGCTTCCACCTCTCCTGCCATGTGGAGCCCTGGGTCCAGAAAAGCCCAACCAAACACTTTCCATCCTCAGAAAGAGGTTTTCCAAAACCTTCCTTACTATCCAGTGCTTGGACAGAGATGGATATCACACAACATGTTCGGCAAAGGCCCTGGAATCACAAGGGGCTCAGGGTTCTACAACTCCGCTTCATGTGTCAACGGCAAAATGGTAGTGAAGGTCTTGAGCTCCTGTGGCATGGCACCTCATCCTTGGATACTGCCTTCTTGTTACTTTACTTCAATGACACTTATAAAAGTGTTCAGAAGGCCAAACTTCCCAAAGGCCTTGAAGAGTTTATGGAAAAGGACTCTTCTCTTCTCTTGCAGAGGGCCCGGAGAGCAGGCAATATCACATCTAAGATTCCTGGCCCCTCCCAGGAGCATGACGGGCCAAAAAGTAACCAGTGTTCCCTCCACCATTTCCAAGTCAGTTTCCACCAACTGGGCTTAGATCACTGGATCATTGCTCCCAATCTCTATACCCCAAACTACTGTAAGGGTGCCTGCCCTCGGGTACTACACTATGGTCTCAATTCTCCCAATCACGCCATCATCCAGAACCTTGTCAATGAGCTGGTGGACCAGAGTGTCCCTCAGCCCTCCTGTGTCCCTTATAAGTATGTTCCCATTAGCATTCTTCTGGTTGAGGCAAATGGGAGTATCTTGTACAAGGAGTACGAGGATATGATTGCCCAGTCCTGCACATGTAGGTGATAGCACAGGTACAGGTAGCTCAGGTTTCCTAAGAAATTGAAGTAGGGTTTAAAATAAATATCAATGTTAAAGCTGCAGGTGATCCTCTACCTAACCTATGAGTTCTATTCCTTGCCTTAAGTGGTGTTGTTTAAGTCTCTTCACCCCTTTAGGAGTTCTTTGCTTTATGAAAACAGCTCTGATACCAAATAGTACATTTTGACCACTAGTCAAAGCCCTTAATGTTTGAGTAAGATGTTCCTTTGGAGATGCTCTCACTATTTTCCTGTCTTTTTATTGTGATTTTGTCAAAGTCACCAGTCCATGGTGGTAGAACTTTAGGAATTGTCCCATTAAGACCTGGGAAAGGTAGAATCTTCCTACTGTCCATCTTCTGAGGCTCTCTAGATTTGGGGTGAAGAAAACAACTTGAGATTTTATATTCTTTGCCTCCTATATCCTGGAAACTAGTGCCTAATCAGAAAGACTGCCTGCTTCTGTGCTTGGATTGCCCTCTAAATCTAAAAATAACTTTTCTCAGATTAGAAAACTTTTAGACAATAATCTCCATAAATTTTTTTTGAAGGAGGCAGAAGAAAGGGACACTTTTTTCTAAACTATCAGGAGTTTTCTTCTCAACCTCTGACCCTGAGAAATATATCTAGGATTCCTTCCTACCCTAGGGTGGGGAGAACAGACTTTAATAAGACCAATAGGGAAACTTGACTATGGGGTTGTCTGAGATGAAATCACTTCAAAACTACCCACATCTATGGTAAAGAGAAAGAGAGGAACAGCTGTCATTGCTAATTAGGATTATGTATAGGGGAGTCATTTTAATCTTTCTATGGAACAATAGGTTTTGCAGGGTATTTCTAATTTTATATAACACTTAAACCCCTGTTCGTTATTCCACAAAGAAAGCTCCCTGGTGGCTCAAGCTAGGAGTTGGCCTGGATTTGGGCAGAAAAAGTAGGCTGCAGTCAGAAAGCTTGAGGAGCTGTGGGGGAAGGGCGAAGTGTGTGGAGGCCTGGGACTGACTTCATTCTGGGATTGCTGTTTGTGCACACTAAATTTGGCTCTGAGCATGGGTCTCTGGGGGGAGATGAGCTTGCTGTCTTGGATGGCATGGAGTTCTACCTTGGACTACATGATCCTTGTAATGTGACTCTTTTCTACTCCTATGCTGTATTGAAGCAATGGGAACTGGGCTGTGTTACAAATAAATCATTTGTTAAAGAGAATCTTGAATGTCTTGGGGATTGGGAGAAAGTAGGTGCAAGAAATTAGTTTCCTTTGTTCCCTTTAGCTGTGGCCAGGAGCTGAACCTTAATCCCCAAGGATGGGGCTAGAGGTTTCTCTGAAGTTCTCTCAAAGCAGCCCTGGATCCCCAAGAGACCTTCTCAAAGATCTCCAGAAAGGCCTTTCCTTACCCAGCTGTTCTTTGTCTAGTCTTATGGTTGTTCTCAGTGGGATGGGACTGATATGGGGTGGGTGCATGTGTTCTCCAGCTGTAAATCCCTATCTCTTTTACCTATCCATTATAAATTAATTCATGACTTCCTTTTCAATTACTGGTTCCAGCTAGACTGAACATCTTACGTGTCTATAAAGATGCACATTATTCTGCCTGATAATAGGATGTTATTTAACATCCTTTTATCCATCTATCTTCCTTATTGTATCTAGGAATCAGCTCAGGCATTTCTCTTCCTCTACTCAATGCCTCCATGACACCCCAGGCTCAGGTGTGTGCTCCCCACCAGCCTATGCTCATATGGCACTATTCGCTTTCCTTTCACACACTCTAGTGTAACTGTCTTTTTTGCTGAAAGATGGAGTTCCTTTTGAGAGCTTCAACTGTGTTTTACTCATTTCTATATTACTGGAGCCTGGCATAGAGTACCTCCTTGGTGAATACAAACATAGGACAGTGACGCTTTTCAGTGAGGTATACATTCTTCCTGAGTTGGAATATTTCAATGTTTACATATTTCATTAATTTTCCATTGGAACAAGTATATTTTGTATATAAAGTTAGATTATTAATTTTTGCCTCATTATTTCAAAATCGCAATTCAAATTAGAATGTGACAGCTGTGTTCTTGAGTAGGAAGTTTATGGAATCATTATATATGCTGCAAGTCAACATGAGAGAGTAAATGTAGGCTTCCAGTCCAGCCACTATTTGTGGTAGGTACAAATACCTCACGGGCCTGAAGACACTTTGGTCACAGGACCAGATTCTGAGTTCAGCAGATCAGTGTTCTTTGGGATTTTCAGAAAATCATGGACTCCTAGGCTTGTGAGTCCTGAATACATCTGAAATTTAATCTGTTTATGGAGGGCTCGGGGTTAATTGATCCCACTATCCATTAAGCCCTGAGTTGTCAGAATATCTAAAGAAAACACTGGCAGGATGAGGTTAATTGTGGCTGATGTTATGGATTCTCTCTTGAAATATTGCTTTCAGCTCAGTGCTTTTCCTCAAATCCGAAGTAAAAGATCTATACCTCAAATCTTCTTCTTGGAGAAAAGAGGTAGGCTTGCTGGTGGAGGAGGGTGTGTGGATGACAGTCCATCTGCCCAGGTGGGTGGAGAGAAATGATTACTTGGTCCGGAAAGGGAAAGCAGGGAGCAAAGTCTACCTTGTCCCAGTTCTTTCAGTGACTAGGCCAGAACTTAATTCAATATATGAGGGCAAAAGGACCAGGCATTTAATGTTGCTTCTGACCATGGAGCTCTATTGCATTTACCTTGGTAGTATGTTACATCCAATTCTGGACAAAGTCGGGAAGCAAATAAGATTTATTTTCAGTTCCACCAAATATTTGGGTTCCTAATTTTGTGAAAGGTTTCATATGTTTTCACTTAATTCTCCTAACAGCACTATAAAGTAGAAGGTATTAGCTCAATTTTTTTTTAAAAAATTAATTATTGAGATATAATTCACATACCATAAAAGCCACCATTTTAGGTGTTCAATTCAGAGATTTTTAGTATATTCACAGTTGTACAAAAATCACTACACTCAATTTCATCGCAAAAAGAAACTATATACTCATTAGCAGTTAATCTCCATTTCCCCACCCCAACCCAGGCCCTGGCAACCGTTAATCTACTTTTTATATGGCTTATGAATGTTTGTTTATACATCAAAATATACAATATTTGGCTTTTTGTGACTCTTCTTCAACTTAGCATAGTGCTTTCAAGATTCACCTATATTGTTCCTTCCTTTTTATTGCCAAATAAAATTGTAGAATATACATTTTGTGTATCAATTTATCAGTTTATGGGCATTTGAGTTACTACTATACTATTTTTTGGCTATTATGAATAATGCTGTCATGAATGTAAATATGGACATTTTTGTTTGGACATATATTTTCAATCATCTTGTGTATATACCTAAGAGTATATACATGCTGACTTATAGGGTAACTATGTTTAACATTTTGAGAAACTTCTAAATTTTGTTTTGTTTTGTTTTTGTTTTTTGTTTTTCAAAGTGGCTGCACCATCTTACAATCCAGGATGTATAAGAGTTTCAATTTCTCCATATTCTCAATACTTGTTATTGTCTATCTTAATTATTCAGCCATATTAGTGGAGGTGAAGAGGTATTCCATTGTGGTTTTTGTTGTATTTCCCTAATGACTAATAACATTGAACATCTTTTCAAGTGTTTATTTGCAACTTGCACATCTTCTTTAGATAAATGTCTATTCAAGTCATTTGCTCAGTTTTTAATTGGGTTGTCTCTGATTTGTAAAAGTTCTTGATATATGCTGTATGATAATCCCTTTATCATATGTATAATTTGCAAATATTTTCTCTGATTCTGTGGATTGCCTTTTAAATTTATTGATGGTGTCCTTTGAAACACAAAAGTTTTTTTTTTTAATTTGGAAGAAATTAAATTCATCCATTTTTGTCTTTTGTTGCTTTGTTTCTGGCATCTAAAAAAAACATTGAATAATTCAAGGGCATGAGGATTTACACCTATGTCTTTTTCTAAGAGTTTTTATGGTTTTAGCTGTAACATTTAGGTATTTAATCCATTTTAATTAATTTTTACATATGATATGAGGTAAATGTTTAACTTCATTCATTTTTATATAGATATCCAGTTGTCACAGCACCATTTGTTGAAAAGACTAATCTTTCCCCCATGTAATTGTCTTACCACCCTTGTCAAAATTGACCATAAATGTAAAGATTTATTTCTAGACTGTCGATTTTGTTCCATTGATCTATATGTCTGTTTTTATGCCAGTACAACACTATCATGATAATTGTAGCTTTGTGTAAATTATGTAATTGGGAAATGTGATTCCTCCAAATATTTTCTTCTATATGAAGATCATTTAGACTATTCTGGATCACTTATGTTTTCATATGAATTTTAGAATCAGCTTTTCAATTTACGAAAAAATACCGAGTTTTTGTGATTAGAGACTGCATCGAATAGGTAGATAAGTTTGTGTAGTATATCCATCTTAGCATTATTAAGTCTTCTGATTTGTAAACATGGGATATCTTTTCATTTATTTAAGACTTCTTTAATTTATTCAACAATGTTTTGTCATTTTTCAGTGTGTCTTACATTTTAAATTCCTAAGTTTTTAATTCTCTTTGATGCTATTGTAAAAGAATATTTTTCTAAATTTCATTAATTGCTAATATATAGAAATGCAATTCATTTTTGTATATTCAACTTGTACCCTGCAATCTTGTTGAACTCTTTTATTAGCCATAGTAGTTTGTATTTCTTAGGACTTTCTTCTTTCTTTCTTTCAATCTGTATGCCTTTTTTTTTTTTTTCAACCTAATTATCTGGCCAGAACTTTCAATACAATGTTGAATACAAGTAGTAAGAAAAGCAGACATCTTTGTCTTGTTCCCAAACTTAAGGAGAAATCTTTTAGTCTTTTACCAATAAGTTGATAAAACAAGTTGTGGTTTTTCATAGATGCCTGACTTCAATATTCATTTTAAAGCTACAGAAATCAATACAA